CCACAGATAAACAATTTGTTGCTAAATTAGCCAATAATTCCCTTACTATTTTGAATCATGTCCGTTGCTAAAAGCATGTCTCTTTGGGTACCAATTTAACTAGTGATTTAGCAACGGAATAGAAACCACTTAGCAAGGGCATTAGCAACAGAATTAGACAGCGATTAACAACAAATTAGCCACGGATCACACCCCTCTAAATACCTCCTTTATATATAATTAGCCACAGATAAACAATTTGTTGCTAAATTAGCCAATAATTCCCTTACTATTTTGAATCATGTCCGTTGCTAAAAGCATGTCTCTTTGGGTACCAATTTAACTAGTGATTTAGCAACGGAATAGAAACCACTTAGCAAGGGTATTAGCAACGGAATTAGATAGCGATTAGCAACGGATTAGATAGAGGTTAGACATGCATTGGCAACAAAATTGGTACCCGAGAGACATGCTTTTAGCAACGAACATGATTCAAAATAGCAAGTTATTATCCGTGGCTAATTTAGCAACAATTATTTATTTGTGGCTAACTATTTAGAAAGGTGATATTTAGAGAGGGCGTGATCCGTGGCTAATCCGTTGCTAAAGTAAGATTAGCAACGGATTTTCTAAAGTAGCAACAAAATTAGCTGTCTTGTAGTGATAATTCAATTAGATTCAATGATATATGAAATAAATATAAAATAAAAGCAATATCTTGCTATACCTGGAATGTTACAAAAAAAATAATTCCATTGATTTGATTCGATTAAATGTATAATTCGATTAGATTTAATTATTTAGAAAGCAATTCAATTAATTTGCAACATTTTTACTCCGGTTGGTATTGAATGTCCGAAATAGAGAATTCATTTATAAATGAGTTCTAGTAGAATTTATTTGTAAATGAATTTTCATATTTGGTATGATTAATTTAAAACATGTAATTCAATTAAATTTTATATAATCATGTATGAAATAACTTCATAATTGGAAATTCATTTGTTTTGTTTTCTAAAATATTCTTGAAATAGTAATTAAATAAATAAAAAATATCAATTACATTTATGTTATGCTACATAATTTTTTTATATTTTTATTAAAATAAATATAAAATAAACTCAATATTATAAAAATTTTGCATTTAATTTAGTGATAAATGTATATTTAACTTGAATCTCTCTCCTCAATAGTAAAGAAATGCTAAAAAAAAAACAGTAAAGGATGAAAAAATTAAAATAAAAAACACTATAATAAGAAAATATTTTTCTAAAAAAATTTTTTTTTTCAATGGTTTTTGTCAAGTTTGATCAAATAAATAAGTTAAATAAGTAAAAAAAATTGAAAAATTAACTTTGTAGAAGAAGGGTAGTTTTGTCATAAAAAGTTAGATTATTTAGTTTTATGGAATTTAGGATAGTTATATTCAAGTCCATAGAATTGAATCTCTAGATTAGAAATCTACTTTTTTTTTTTATTCCAAACACAAAAGTATGGATTTCTAAAAGAATTTCACAAAATTTTATGGAATTCATTTGTTCCAAATAAGGGGTTTAGAAAAGATAAAAATTTATTTTGAATTTTTATTTATTTGTGATATATTGGACATAAATCTTGGTAATTATGTTTTTCCTTTCTTGGGTTCATGTTTTAGTTAAATTCTGTGTGTAAAATTATATATTATCTGCCATTATGGAGATGATACTTGATTTGATATCTTTTATTAGTATGCTTTTATTGTTCCCAACAAAAATAATTAAATCTATGCTTTTCTTTTTCGCAACAAAAATAATTAAATCTTACTTTATCGGGTAATTGTTTCCTTTTTAGTTGAGCTTCTATAACTTTGTTTATGTTGTTGCTATACTAAGTTTCATACAAAACCTCATTTTTTTAGCTTTATGAGAGATGATGAATGAGACTTTTTGTTAAATGAAATTTTCTTGTTTTGTAATAAAAATAACTTGGATGTTCTTGACATGGATGATATGCATATCCTTCGAGGACGATCTTGACGCAATACAGAAAAAATGATAAACATACGCTATTTTCTTACTTTTTTTCATTCCAAACACAAAACTATGGATTTCTAAATGAATTCCACAAAATTTTGTGGAATTCACGCTATTTTTCTTACTTTTTTTCATTCCAAACACAAACTATGGATTTCTAAATGAATTTCCACAAAATTTTGGTTTGAATTCCACAAAATTTTGTGGAATTCATTTGTTCCAAACAAGGGATTTAGAAAGAATAAAATGTTTATTTTGAATTTTTATTTATTTATGATGTATTAAACATAAGTTTTGATAATTACGTTTTTTCTTTCTTGGGTTCATATTTCGGTTAAGTTCTGTGTGTAAAATTATATATTAGCCACCATTGTAGAACTGACACTTGATGTGATATTTTTTGTTAGTATGCTTTTTTTTCCTCTACCAAAAATAATTAAATCTTACTTTATCTGGTAATTGTTTCCTTTTCAATTGAGCCACAGAGAGCTTCTATGGCTTTATTTATGTTGTTGTTATGTAATGTAATTCATTCATTTTAAGTTTCATACGGAACCTCATTTTTTTAGCTTTATGAGAGATGATGTAGAGACTTTTTGTTAAATGAAATTTTCTTATTTTGTAATAAAAATAACTTGGAAGTTCTTGACATGATGGTATGCATATCCTTCGAGGACGATCTTGATGCAATATAGAAAAACTGACAAACATGTTGTTTTTTTCTACTTTTTTTCTTTTCATTACAAACACAAAAATATGGATTATTAAATGAATTCCACAAAATTTTATAGAATTCATTTGTTCCAAACAAGGGATTTAAAAATAATAAAATGTTTATTTTGAATTTTTATTTATTTATGATGTATTTAAACATAAGTTTTGATAATTAAGTTTTTTTCTTTCTTGGGTTCATATTTCGGTTAAGTTCTGCGTATAAAATTATATATTACCTATCATTGTAGAACTGACACTTGATGTGATATTTTTTGTTAGTATGCTTTTTTTTTTTCCTTTAACAAAAATAATTAAATCTTACTTTATCTGGTAATTGTTTCCTCTTCAATTGAGCCACAGAGAGCTTCTATGGCTTTATTTATGTTGTTGTTATGTAATGTAATTCATTCATATTAAGTTTCATAATTTTTTTAGCTTTATGAGAGATGATGTAGAGACTTGTTGTTAAATGAAATTTTCTTATTTTGTAATAAAAATAACTTGGAAGTTCTTGACATGATGGTATGCATATCCTTCGAGGACGATCTCGCTGCAATACAGAAAAAATGACAAACATGCTATTTTTTTATACTTTTTTTTTTCATTCCAAACACAAAAATATGGATTAATAAATGAATTTCACAAAATTTTATAGAATTCATTTATTCCAAACAAGGGATTTAGAAAGAATAAAATGTTTATTTTGAATTTTTATTTGTTTATGATGTATTAAACATAAGTTTTGATAATTACGTTTTTTCTTTCTTAGGTTCATATTTCGGTTAAGTTCTGTGTGTAAAATTATATATTACCCACCATTGTAGAATTGACACTTGATGTGATATTTTTTGTTAGTATGCTTTTTTTTTCCTCTAACAAAAATAATTAAATCTTACTTTATCTGGTAATTGTTTCCTTTTCAGTTGAGCCATAGAGAACTTCTATGGCTTTATTTAAGTTGTTGTTATGTAATGTAATTCATTCATAATGATTCATACCGAATCTCATTTTTTAGCTCTATATGAGATGATAGATGAGACTTTTTGTTTAATGAAATTTTCTTGTTTTGTAATAAAAATAACTTGGATGTTCTTAACATGGACGGTATGCATATCCTTGAGGATGATCTCGACGCAATACAGAAAAAATGACAAACATGCACTTTTTTCTACTTTTTTTTTCATTCCAAACACAAAAATATAGATTACTAAATTAATTCCACAAAATTTTGTAGAATTCATTTGTTCCAAACAAAGGTTTTAGAAAGAATAAAATGTTTATTTTGAATTTTTATTTATTTATGATGTATTAGACATAAGTTTTGATAATTACGTTTTTCCTTTCTTGGGTTCATGTTTCGGTTAAGTTCTGTGTGTAAAATTATATATTACCCACCATTGTAGAACTGACACTTGATGTGATATTTTTTGTTAGTATGTTTTTTTATGCGGAGCAACTTGCACTTTAATATTTGGAAGACTTGGATCTGTGCAAACCAAGGAAAAATACGCACGGCCGTGTCACTCCTAGCATGCCCGTGCCAGACTCTAGAAGTCCAGGACGCGAGACACGCCCAAGACTAAGAAGCCTAGGCACACCCGTGCCACAGATAGCCTGACCGTGCTAGGCTCTGGAAGTCATAGCACGCCCGTGCCATGATAAGCATACCCGTGCCAACGGGTCCAGTTACGATTCGAGTTTGACATACCCGTGTCATGCCAAACACGCCCCATGTTAGCCTCTAGGAGCCCAAGCACGCCCGTGCCGCCGCCCTTACTAGGGTTCTGCTTAATTACGAGTTTTGTGTATTTTTAGGATTTTATAACTTTTACCCTGAACCTATAAATAGGTTTTTTTTTTATTTTTTTTATTTTTATTGTGATGGATTGATTATCTTTCAACATTATTCATATCAATAAACTTCTTTGAAAGTTTAAGTTCCCTATTTTATTCGTCAGATCAAACGTTATTAATCAAAACTCCCGACGGAGTATAATCGTCTTTCCCATTCACGTAACCGTTCTGTGTCAGTTGTATCAGAGCCGAAAGGCAAAGTATCTCCATGGCCGACAATCATGAAGCATGACTCACAGTCATAGAGGCGAAATTCGACGAGTTAATCGAACATATTAGACAGTTGACTCTCATAATTCAACAAGGCATGAACAACCTGCAGCTGCAGCCGTAGGGCCGAATCAGTAACAACCAGATTATGCAAGGCGCCAAAATCATTATGATGGAGGCCGAGATTATAGAAACAATGGTGAAAACTTTCATGATGGATACAAAATAAAGGTAGACCTTCAACCTTTCTCAGGATCGCTAGATATTGAAAGCACTCTTTATTGGCTAGCAGAGGTCGAGCGATTCTTTGAGGTCATGAATTTTGAGGATGAACGCAAGGTTTCTATTGTGGCCTATAAACTTAAAGGAGGTGCAGTAGCATGGTGGCATTTTGTGCAAAACGAACGCCGTCGCCGAAGAATTGAACCTATACTGGATTGGATCCCAATGAAACAGATGATTGAGCAACGTTTCCTTCCCAGTGATCACTCTCAAATTCTGTACAACAGGTATCATGACCGTTTTCAAGGAAATCGAAAAGTTGATGAGTATACGGAAGAGTTTTTAAGACTACAGGCTCGTTGTGACAATTGTGAAACCGAATCCCAGCAAGTAGCTCATTATATAGAAACAATTGGTGAAAACTTTCATGATGGATACAAAATAAAGGTAGACCTTCAAACCTTTCTCAGATCCGCGTAGATATTGAAAGCACTCTTTTATTGGCTTAGCAAGAGGTCGAGCGATTCTTTGCAGGTCATGAAATTTTGAGGATGGAACGACAAGGTTTCTATTGTGGCCTATAAACTTAAAGGAGGTGCAGTAGCATGGTGGCATTTTGTGCAAAACGAACGCCGTCGCCGAAGATATTGAACCTATACTGGATTGGATCCCAATGAACGAACAGATGATTTGTAGCAACGTTTCCTTTCCCAGTGATCACTCTCAAATTCTGTACAACAGTATTCATGGACCGTTTCAAGGAAATCGAAAAGTTGATGAAGTAGACGGAAGAGTTTTTAAGGAAGAGTTTTTAAGACTACAGGCTCGTTGTGACAATTGTGAAACCGAATCCCAGCAAGTAGCTCATTACCAGAGGGGATTGAACCATGATATCATGTGTACGATGGGTGTAACTGTGATTTTCACATTGGCAGACGCAATCGAGATGGCCAAACATGCAGAGGATCGAATTAACTGGCAGCCTAGACAACCGTCTAATCGTAATCAGAATTTTAGGCAACCCTACTCACCCGAAAATCAACAGTTTAACAAAAATTTTGGTGGATAGAATTCAAGAGCAACAACCCCTATTAATAACCGAAATTCTCAACAACCCTCAACTGAAGAAAAGAAAGACTTCCGGGGTAAGGCTCCTATAGTAGACAAGAACAAGTGATAGTGATTTTTGCAAGTGTACGAAATCGCAACAAGTAATAAAGTATGAGAAAGTATAGTATCCACAGGGATTGTATATCAAGTACCAAAATTTTGTTAACCTACTATTATTTAAACGACAATAAGAGAGAATTGTTATAAGGAAATTAAATTCGAAAGTAAACAGAAAGAGATCAAGCAATAAAATTTTAGGTGAAAAGGAAACAGGGATTTAAATTACTATGGAATTTGATTTCACTTAATTCTATCCAATTTATTTTATTAGTTTGTTAATCAATTTTAATTGTTCAAGTAGGATAAACAACCCTGAAATCACTAACAAGCTCTCCCGATGTATTGTTAGCTATTCTAATCTAGTCTAATTACCTATCTTCTAATAGCGTAATCAAACATAAATTAAATCATTGAGTTTTGTGAAGGTCATTAACTATAAAACCCCCCTGAGTCAAACCGCAATAGCTCCGCACTCATTATATCTCAGTAATATATCTCAACAAAAACCCTCGTCCCGAAGTGCATAATGAAATAGTCAAACCAGGGGGAAAATTCTGCCTGGAAGCTTTAAGCTCAATAATAATATAATAAGAACAATGAAAAACAAATCTAATATATGGAATTCGAATTAAGTACATTCAAATCCCGTAGTATAAAGAGGTAGGCAGACATAGAATGAAATAAAACTCAGTAATACTGAATAATCTTCATAATCATAATAAAACAGCGAAAAGAAAAAAACAAGATTAGAGTAGAGATAAAAACTAGGTAACAGCTTATGTGATGGCTCCTGAATCTGGGACAATCTAATGCTGAAACCTTGAGAGAGAGAACTTATGTAGAAAACAACTCCCAAAAATGGAGAATCCATAATGAAAACTCCCTTATTATAGAGCTCCTGAAGGCAAATCGACTCCGTAGGAAATAGATCCTCATTAAGTACAAGATCATGACTGTTTAGGCCTTGGATTTCTTCTTAGTTAGGACTCCTTTCTCTTCCAAAATAGGTCTAGATCTTGTTTAGTACGTTTAGGAAACATTCTGAGGCGGGCCCATATGAGAAAAGGATTGATTTTCATTGTTAGTTCATGCTAGTTCTGCCTTCGAAGCACGGGTGTGCTATTATGCACGCTTGGGCGTGCTCAAGTCTGGAACTTTGGATGGTTGAGCACGGGCCGTGCTATTCAAAACGCTCTAGAGGAGTCTTTATGGCATGGGCGTGCCCCCTAGCACGGGCTGGGCGTGCTTGTCTCTGTCTCTCCAAGATAGATTTTGTCATAGGCGTGCTAGGCAAGCACGCCCTTGAGTTTCTTTTGGGCACGGGCGTGTCATGTAGCACGGGCTGGTCGTGCTTGCTTCTGACTCTCCACTTGATTACTTAGTTTTCAGCACGGGAGTGCCTTTTAGCACGAGCTGGGTGTGCCTGAGACTGAGTATTTTACAAAGTAATGCTCTTTTCTGTGCCAAAACCCTGCAAATTTCTTTTAGATCAAGTGGGTTATGATTCAAGGAAGCTTTGAACAAAATTATACTTAAAATTAATTATAAACAAATCAAAGTGATAAAATTTACTTAAAATTCTAATTAAAACCTATACTAAAAATACTATAAAACTGACACCTATCAACAAGTCTAACCTATACTAGAAACCAATCAGAGACTACTGTTATTGATGTAGAAAGCAAGGGCATACCTCTAATGTATGTCCAGAGCGTAGGAGGGCTAATGACGGGCATCGACAAGTTAATGTATTTGATGAGGTGACTGAAGTTGAAGAATTGGAAGATGAAGAAGATGGGTTCTTGGTAGGTTCAGAAGATGGTGAAGTTACATATGTGATTAAAAAGATTTTTTACTCTCCAAAACAAGAAAGTGACACTCAATGGAGAAAAATCTTCCAAGCTAAATGTCGAATTGGTGAAGCAGTGTGCCGACTTATCATTGATAATTGCAGTTGTGAAAACTTGATAGCCAAACAATTGGTTGAAAAGCTTAGTTTACTAACAGAACCACATCCTTTGTCGTACAAGGTAGGGTGGATTAAGGAGGGTCCTATGATTGAGGTAAACCGGGTTTGTAAAGTCCCAATTTCAATGGGGAAGTAGTACACAGATATTGTTAGTTGCGATTTTGTGGATATGGATGCCTGTGGAGTACTATTAGGACGTCCATGGCAGTTTGATGTAGATGCTTTGCATAAGGGTGGAGAGAATTCATACATGTTCACTTGGAAAAAAAAGAAAATCATTGTCCTACCTTCTAGATCTTCTGCCAAAGCTTGTAAAGTGGAGGGAAAATCCATAGTAGCTATTTCTTCCAATGTGCAGGAATTATCTGGTGTAATTGAGAAGTCCGGAGGTGCGTTGGCATTGCTGATCAAACCAGAGACAGGATCTAATGAAGGGGCACTAGTACCACCACTAGTCAAAGAGTTGTTGATGAGTTTCATGCTGTAGTTGAAGAACCATCTACACTCCCACCTTTACGAGATATTCAACATCAAATCAATTTCATCCCTGGATCGAAGATTCCAAATCTACCTCATTATAAGATGAGTCCAAAGGAAAGCCAGATCCTTCAAGAACAGGTAGAAGAGTTATTGAAGAAAGGACATATCCGGGAAAGTATCAGTCCTTGTGGGGTTCCTACTTTGTTAGTACTAAAAAAAGATGGGACTTGGAGGATGTGTGTTGATAGTCGAGCAGTCAACAAGATCACGGTGCAATATCGATTCCCTATTCCTCGTCTGGAGGACATGTTGGACCAACTGTCAGGATCTATAATGTTCTCCAAAGCTACCCTCATATAAGATAGTCCAAAGGAAAGCCAGATCCTCAAGAACAGGGTGAGAGAGTAGAGAAAGGACATATCCGGGAAAGTATCGTCCTGTGGGCCTACTTTAAGGTACTGAAAAAAAGATGGGACTTGGAGGATGGGTGAAGTCGAGCAGTCAACAAGATCACGGCGTCAATATCGATCCCTATTCCTCGTCTGGAGGACTGGTGGACCATACAATCGCAGCACTGTCAGGATCTAAATGTCTCCAAATAGATCCGCAGCGGGGTATCATCAAATCAGCATCAAGGAGGAGACGAATGGAAAAGGGCATGCAAGACCAAGGAAGGATTTATATGAGTGGTAGTAGTGGCCATGGGGTGACTAATGCAGCCGAGGCACATCACGCAACTTATGACGCAGGTTGCGTCCGCGCTAAATAGGAACTGATGAATGCGATAGGTCAGCAGAAAAACACCTGAGCACCTGGTCGAAGGGGTAGAGCTGCAGAAAAAATGGGGGTGATGATCAACCTTCAAGAAGGTGCAGCTGAAATGGAGTGGATGCTACGAGAATGGTGAGCTCGGAAAGGAACAGGGATGACAGAAAGATGAAGGCCAGTGGGTCGAAATTGGCGTATTCCCAAAAACACGCAACTGAAATGCGCACTGTATGGTCTGCCACTCTATAAGTGGTATCAGGAACGTGAGTAGGCATCGGGCTCCCCATAAACAGAAAGAGCGTCGAAGAACATGCAAGATAAGCTTACGGTCCGCCCCTATGCGCTACGTGACGTGATAATGGAAGGAGATATGATGTGTGGGGTGGAATGGTGGTGTCTCAATCTAGAAAGCCTAGTCGCATAGTGAAATGAAGTGAAAGCCAGGTAGATGTCACTACGAGTAAGAATGTGAATCACTTGCCGATGCCTCAAAAAACGGGGAAACATTATGTAGGGCATGGAAGTCATCAGTACACTAATCATCAAGAACTAATCACAAACTTCAAAAGAAAGTAAGCAGAGTGCATGCATTGTGGGCAACTAGGGGCTCCAGTGATGTGGCATAGGCACAAGTCAGGACATTGCAACACCATAGCAAGATGCCTGGAGCAGGTGAGAGCAGCACTGGATCACAATCAAGCAAGAGATGATTGGTGGCCGAAGTGAAGATCTAACGCCTCAGAGAAGATGGTGACACCGGGGCAAGATGGGGGGATGCTAAAACAGCCGTACCGATGGTCTGTCATGAGGGGGACGATGTCAAAGAAAATGGAGCAATGCAGTCCTCGGTCCTCTGAGAAAAATAATCAGAAGAATCCATTGGAGGGGAGCGGACATGTGGGGCGAGATAAAAACTATCGAGTGGAGTCGTCATCTATGGCCACAGCTGAAAAGAAGTGAGTGAAAGCGAGAACAAAGATGCCATGCCAGACACAAAAGGGCCAGTGCGTCAAAACACCGGTCTACAGTCCGTGGCTGGACGAATAAACCTGGAGACTATCCAGGAGGTGTGGGTACCTCTCAACTCAACGCGGAGCTGCTCTAGCTTATGGGTAGACAGTGTCTCCAAGAGGGCACACTGTGGATCTTTTATTCCTTGCAAGCAAACTAATGATGCCTCACACATAGCAAAGTTATTTTTCTAGGAGATTGTTCGCTTGCATGGCATTCCCAAAACAATCACATCTGATTTAGACACAAAGTTTCTAGCTCACTTCTGGAAAACTTTGTGGAAGAGGTTAAACACTCAACTTCATTACAACAATACTGCTTATCCCTAAACTGATGGAAAAATTGAGGTGGTGAACCGAACTCTTGCAAATCTTCTGAGGTGCATTTGCAGCGATAGAGAAGAAGAAGATGTGGGAGCTTGCTCTTGCCCAAGCAGAATTTTCTTACAACAGTGCCGTCCATATCTCCACCAAGATGTCCCCGTTTGCAATTGTCTACCGGATGGTACCAACACATACTCTTGATCTTCTTTCCCTTCCAGCAGGTGTAGAAAAGACCATTGCAGCTAATCACTTGGCTTTTGAGCACGTGGATGTATTTAAGCAAGTGCAGCAATTCATCACTGCTGCCAATGAAAAATACAAAGCTGTAGCTGATAAACACCGGTGATACAAATCTTTTACAGTGGGTGATTGGGTCATGGTGTATCTTTGCAAGGAGCGTGGTGGAGGACAGAAGAAAGTGGGTGATTGGGTCATGGTGTATCTTTGCAAGGAGCGTGGTGGAGGACAGAAGAAGCTTGACTCCAAAAAGATTGGCCCATTTCAGATACTTAAGAAGATTAATGATAATGCCTATGTACTTGACCTGCCCGAAGACATGAAGATTTCCAGGATGTTCAATGTTGTTGATTTGTTCCCATTCTATCCCGATGATGATCACTCGAGGTCGAGTCCTTTTGAAGTGAGGGAGATTGATGTGGAGCGACTTGCACTTTAATATTTGGAAGACTTGGATCGGTGCAAACCCAGGAAAAATACGCACGGCCGTGTCACTCCTAGCATGCCCCTGCCAGACTCTGGAAGTCCAGGATGTGAGACACGCCCAAGACCAAGAAGCCCAGGCACGCCTGTGCCATAGATAGCCTGACCATGCTAGCCTCTAGAAGTCATAGCACGCCCGTGCCGATGTGTCCAGTTACGATTCGAGTTCTGACACGCCCGTGTGATGCCAAACACGCCCCGTGTTAGCCTCTGAGAGCCAAAGCATGCCCGTGCCGCCGCTCTTAATAAGGTTTTGCTTAATTACGAGTTTTGTGTTTTTAGGATTTTATAACTTTTACCCTGAGCCTATAAATAGGTTTTTTTTTTTTTTTGTATATTGATGGATCGATTATCTTTCAACATTATTCATATCAATAAACTTCTTTGAAAGTTTAAGTTCCCTATTTTATTCGTCAGATCAAACGTTATTGATCAAAATTCCTGACGGAGTATAATCGGCCTTCCCATTCACGTAACCGTTCTACGTCACTTTTTTTCCCTCCAACAAAAAAAATTAAATCTTACTTTATCAGGTAGTTATTTCCTTTTCAATTGAGCCATAAAGAGCTTATGTGGCTTTATTTATGTTGTTGTTATGTAATGTAATTCATTCATATTAAGTTTCATACAACACCTTATTTTTTAGCTTTATGAGAGATGATAGATGAGACTTTTTGTTAAAATTTCCTTGTTTTTTAATAAAATAACTTGAATGTTCTTGACATGTATGATATGCATATCCTTTGAGGAGGATCTTGATGCAATACAGAAAAATGAAAAACATGTACAATTACAAGTGGAGTTATTTTATGCTATGATAGATTTAAAACTCCAAGAGCTCAATAGTCGTTTTAATGAAGTGAATACAAAGTTGCTTATATATGTTTCATGCTTGAATTCAACTGATCTATTCATTACTTATGATAAGGAAAAATTACTTTGTCTTGCTCAATTTTATCCTATTGAGTTTTCATCAGTTCAATTTAGTGTTCTTGATAATCAATTAGAGACATATATATTTGATAAGAAGTTCAATTACGAGTTTTCAAATGTGATTAGGATTAGTGACCTTGCTGAGAAAATAGTAAAGACAAAGAAAACATATTTTGTAGCCATTAATTTACAAGCTTATAACGTTGGCTTTGGTCTTACCTATTGCAACTGCATTTGTTGAAATGACATTTTCTGGTATGAAAATTATAAAGAATCGATTATGTAATAAAATTCGAGATCAATAGATGGTTGATTATTTGATCATTTATACTAAGAAAGATATTATTTATAAAGTGGACAATGACATGGTTATGCAACGTTATCAAGGCATGAAAACTCGTAGAGAACAACTGTAATTTTATTTTATTTTATAATTTTTATTAATATAAATGGTATTGTAGATGTTACATATTAATTAGTAAATTTAATTGTTGAAATTTTTTTATACTACAAGTCATTTTATTTTTATGGAAAAATATTAAAATTTTTGCCCCTTTGATTATAAATCCTGGCTTCATCCCTGCTTATGCCTTTACTTTTTGGACATGCTATGTGTTAATGGAAGAATATGAGAATGTAGCTACAGTGCGAGTTGCAGTTTCAATGCCTAGATATTTTCAGATTGGTTTCCTCGGGCTTTTGGGGCAAAAGGTCAATGCAATGGAACACTACACATGATCAAAGATTGAGTTCAACAACTGTTTTGGTTCCATATCTTGCCTGTACTACTAGTAGTAGTTACAATAATTTCAAGCCTATCAAAGGTAGCACAATCCATTATTAAGCCCATTCAAGGACAAGACAATCCATTTTTAAGCCCATTAAAGGGCATCACAACCTACAGGACATCATCCCTTACCACTAGGGTAGGGGATCATTTGCTAATTCCAGATCCTATTGTGTCCTTAAGAACACATATCTAAAATCTATTTGCAGCAAGAAAAATTATTTACTCAAGATTTATTTGGAATTTTTTCTTTTTAAAAATAATAGACAAACATGATTACATTTTTTGGTCCCATATTCTGATACCTCAATGTTATAAACTGATTTTTTGGCATCCTCATTTGAGTGGTTGTTTGTTGTCATTAATCTACCACCTCTATAGATACTAACTAGGTCACTTTGAAAGAAATAAATTGCTTTTATAATTGCTAATTAATATACTCTTACTACTTTGTGAGGGAAAATGTTAACGGATTCTTTAGGGTTATTGCATAGCGCATATATATATATATATATATATATAAATACTATAATATATATATGAGGTATGTGTGTGTGTATGTGTGTGTGTGTGTTGTGTGTGTGTGTGTGTGTGTGTGTGTTTAGGGTTATTTCCTTTATGACGGATGGGGTTTTCACAAAGGAAACTAAAAATGTGTTTGGTTGATTTTATTTTATTAAATCGGTTTTCTCTTATTAGACCCATTTGTTAGTCCTTGAAAAAGGCGATCCTTTTAAAAAAGGGGTAAAAAATGGTTCTCACTTAGTAAGAGTTTTGATTTGGAGTCACCACCGTCTTTTAGGGAAAATGTCATGAAT